CTATATAAATGCTCACTTTGAAAGATGAATAGAGTTCTGGATGTTTCGAGGAAAGTGATTCACACCTGACTTTCACGAGTTAAGTTTCGGATCAACTCTGAACACATGTAGATTTGTCATTTTTGGCACACCTTTCACCTCTCTACCATTCATATCTATACTACTATTACTTCCCACTATTAATTGTCTCTTGTGACGTCTCCCAGAAACCCGGGTCCAGTTTTGGTTGGAATTTACTATTTCTTGATACGGTTTTTTTGCCTCATTCGTCAAGTTTATGTATGTTGCGAATCTTTGGGCAGTGCCGTACATTTGAATTGTTTTCTGCAACTAAGTGTTGCTCAACTCTGTATGTACTTAGCTTCACCGTAGGTACTAATGAGGCTACACGTGTCAGCGCTTTGCGTTTTTGAGTGATTTTTCAATTATTTTCTTAATTTTCACTCACGAAACAATCCCGTATTATATCCTGGACCACGACGTCACACGGGTGGCTACAGCTGCCTCCAGGGAAATGATGGTAAAGTCTCTGACTCGAGGCGATCTGATAGAAACTACAGAGAACGGTTGGCCTCTGTTGATGACACCTACATTTGTATACTCATTCTTGTACTTAGCTTCACTGTAATGATGAAATTGATGAGGCCAATTGCCCAGAAACAAGTGTCTACGGTTAGCATTTTTTTGACCATGAACTTTCTACATTTGCATTGAAATTATAGATTTGCACACATTTTATCATATTGATCTTGGTGCAAATAAATCAACTACCTTCTCAAAGATGTCCGAAAAAAAAGCGTTTTGTGAATGGAAAATTGTTAATATTTTCTATACTTTGCGAAAATCCTATAAAGGTATTATTTGAAAGACATTTGTTCATTTTCCACATTGTGGTAGGTTATATAACTACCCAAAAAAACTCTAAATAGCTATACTGAACTTCATATGGCTGAATTGAACAATGAATATTTTCGAATGTACAAATTTATGTCATATAATATTTATGAGGCACCACCAGTGCTCGCTAATCATGGAAGTTTTTTTTCTAATTTTGAATGACTAAATTTCAGGACCGACTCAATCCGCACTTCAACATCTACTTCCTATACAAACTTCTTTGTTTTTTCAATTTGTAGAAGTAACATAAAACCCGCGAAACAGAAGAATATCGTTGGTTACAATTGAGATATTATTTTCCTCTCCCTAGAACTCCATTAGTGCCAATATGTCTGACAATGTATGGGACGGAGGAGAGACATCTCCCAACCTGATCTCGGGCGCGAAATCGCGACCACGAATTGCTTTTAATTGATTTCCGATAAAAGGTTTCCTCGTTTAACATAATAGCGGTGAAGTGTTGACATCCACTCATCGTGGGAAATTCAGCAGCCGCCCTTTGTTCTACTCTGTTTTTGTCGGACGTATTCCTTTTTTGACGAAGACAACATCATCACTTATCTCCACAGAGACATATGATGAGACTACAAAAATAGTTGCATATTTTAGTTACACTGAATGCAGTGTTCATTGGATAATTTTTATTTCTAGTACCACATGGGCTAAAACTTCCCGGGCCCGCGATTTTTTTGTTCAAAATTGGCTTTATTCATCAACGTAATCTCCGTCAAAAGCAATACAATCATTTCAGCGCCGCTCTAACATTTCAATCCAACTTTTGTAAAACGATTCATCTTTTACCTCCAAATTGGCCTCAGTTTCAGCAATAACCTCTTCATTCAAGCGAAATTTTTTACCGTTGAGCATTTTCTTGAGGTTTGCGAACAGCCGGTATATAGTCGCTGGGAGCCAAATCTGGCGAATACGTTGGATGTGGGAGCAATTCCATATGCAGTCGTTTCTTTGCAATTACGGCATTCAAACGCTCCAAAAACATTATATAATATTCACTGTTGACGGTATTTCCCTTCTCAAGATAGTCAATAAATATTACACCACGCACATCCCAAAATACCGAGGCCATGACCTTTCCAGCCGATTGTTGTGCTTTCTGCCGCTTTAGACGAGGTTCACCAGTTGCTCTCCACTTAGATGACGATCGTTTTGATTCCAGAGTGAAGTGATGGATCCATATTTCATCCATTGTCACATATCGACGCAAAAATATCTGTTTGTTATGTTTAAACATGGCCAAATACTGCTGCAGAATCATCAGGACGTTCTTGTTTTCTACCATCGCTTTGGTGAAGAGGACCGACACTAAGTGGGAAACATCTGTATACCTACTGAAAACCCACTGAATCACGAATCCAACCATCATCATTCGACTAAAAGACGAATCTTCAAGACTCTATTAGACCGTGCTTTCGGGCTCTGTAATACGAAGGAAGGTCTCGAGAAGGAACTAGACATCATCAAAAATGATCTTCAACGGAATGGCTACTCCAAAGCGATGGTAGAAAAGACTTTGGCTAAAAGACAGCAGAAGCCTCGCAAGGAAGAGAAACCGTCACAACCAGTGGTTGCATTTCCCTACATAAGATGATTATCGGAGAGGATAAGAAGAATTGATTCCAAGTACAACATCAGAACCTGCTTCGGATCCGGTAACAATATCCGTAGCAGCCTCACGAAAACCGGGCCACCAAACGCGGACTGCGATTCCAAGAATTGCATTTACCGGATACCCTGTGAGTGCGGAAAATCCTATATTGGTGAAACTAAGAGGCCATTGAATGTTCGCATTGCCGAGCATAAGAAACACACACAGTGAGGGGAAACCAGCAAATCAGGAATAGCAGACCATGTTTGGACCCATCAACACAACATCGAGTGGTCCCAAGCTGAGATCATACACAGAGAGAAACATTGGTTTAGGAGAAGATTCAAGGAAGCCGCATACATGTTGTCCAACAACGTATTCAGCCAAGGTAGCGTAGAGATACGCAACATATGGAAATCCATCATCAAGCGAAAAATGGCCAACTCCCGCCAAACGGTCATCTCCTACTGAACCAGTGAAGCGGAAAAAATGGAATGCGGGGATAACTGAAAGTACTCGAACGACCCATAAATAGTCATCTCTCGGAGAAATCAGTCCTGTCATCACCCGAAGACGATTGTAGATACTAACAATCGAAACGTCGTGAACTAACGTAGCTTGGAATCTCTTAATTTTTTATTTTTATTTTCATTTTATTTCTTATAATTTTTATACTTTATTTTTTGTTCAATCGTTCTATTGTTACTTGTATTTTATTTCACTATTCTTTCATTTCAGGTTATTTTTGCTTAATATAATTGTTATTTTCAGCTATTCATTTTTAATACTCCTTTTTTAGTTGTTTCAGGGATTTCAAATCATTTTATATATTTCACAATGGAAGTCCGAACTAGTGAAATTCCTATTTCCGTCTTCAACCTCTCACCTTAGCAATGGTAACCAGGTCCGTATTTCCACAATGTTAATTGCAATACAGAAGAATATATGCGGGTACTTTTGAGTTTTCTCTTTTTTTTTAAGGAGGTTCTTTGGTGACAATTTTTGTTGAATTTCATTTTATTTCGTGATCATTGTGGTATTAAAATATACTCATGTAATCCTTATACTGTTACCTGTCTTCAATTTTTGTTCCTTTTTTCTTATAAGTATTTGGAGGTCTTGAACTTTCACCGAACTTTCTTCAACAGAAACAAATAAATAACACTCTTTCATATTTTCATCCGTGTTCTTGGATTTTGTTCATGTGAAAAGATATGTATCAGTAGTTCTAAAAGTTTAAAATGAAAGGCGAGATATTTTTAAGGAGAGATTAGTTTTTGAAAAAAAAATGGATTTCTATTTTTCATCTTTACACAAAAAATGTGGGAAACTTCCTTTCCGAACAGTGACAGCACGTACTTCTCCATCTTTATATGAAAAAAATATGGGAAATTTCCACATTTTATTTACATATAGATGGAGAAGTAGAAATCTAAAACCTTTCTTTCCCCAAAAATCTCTAATTAATTACAAAACAAAGCATTTTCTGAAATACACAAATAATTCATGAAAGCTGTTTGAATTGAAGACCTTCAACATCCAGGCATTTTCGAGAACATTTCGGGGTATTTTGAATGGCACTGGCCTATTGTTGAGACGTTTTACTCTACATGGCTTTTCTTACTTGTACTTCTTGCGTAGGCAATGTTTTTCAAGTGACCCCAAATGAAAAATTCTAAAGGGGTTTAGTCGGGTGATCTTGCAGGCCACCTGATAGAACCATATTTTTCAATCCATTATTCAAATAATAACTGTGGAATATTATTGTAATATAATACAGGGTGTTTCATTTGGAAATCAAACACTGATGTCATTTCAGAAAAAACGGGAGTTTTAAATATCTCCTATCACGTCAAAAACGCCTCTGCGAGTATATTTAATTTGTTATGGTGAGAAAAAAGTGTTTTCAATTGTTTCCTATGGTTTGAAGAAGTTTCAAAAACACATATAGTGGCACGTGGCATGAATACAACGATTCACATGTTCCCAATTTCGCCAAAATCACTTGTGAGCGATGAGGCATATGTCCTCTTTTATGAACAGGAGGGAATGAAGCAGCACCTTTAATGTGATTTTTTTTTCTTCTTCTTTCCTTTTTTTCATAATCTTAGTTCTTTGAATTGATTTGTATTTCATGATTGTTCCAAATTTCATTATTTATTATAATACTTAGATTTGTTGAATTGAAACTTAAAAAAAAAACATTTTTAATTGATCTGTATAGTTGTAGTTTTTGCACATAGAAAATTATTTTCAACTTCTACGTAGTTCTTGTTCAATTCCTCAGTTTTACATTAAAAAAATCCATAAAGTTTGGATGATAATCATTTGCAAAAGTTGATCTTTTCAAGAAAAAAATAACGTTTTAGTATTCAATTGTGCATTATAGGAATAAATATACATATATCAAAATTATTTTATTTGGGTAACAAATTTACAGTAACGAAAATCCAACAACATGCTTGCATTGAATACATATTAATTAAAAAAAGTGAAACATAAATAACCAAGGAATTTATTATAATTTTATTTAGTTATTACATTATGAGAACATTTGAAAAGGTGTCAATATATGAATTCAATATGCCCCAACCACATTTTAAGGTTGTTTTTTTAATAACCTGGATTTTGACTCACAATTTTGACGATGAACGAACTATTTAAATTTTCAGTTATGAACGCTTTTGATTAAAATTAATGAAAAAAACTTCCATTAGGCACTGCTTTCATTTTTCAATTGCAGCATTGCATCCTACACGATCATATCAAGTAGGGGAGAGAGATCAGACTCAACTTTTCACAAATAACAAGAATGTATGTAAATTTGGTGAAATAAAAGAGAAACTTAGTAACGGGCATTACATTCCCAAATTAGACTGTATTAGAACTATGAAAAGGCACATCGAAACCCCGAAATGAGAATATGAATCATCAACATCTTCCAACCGATTTCCTTGCTTCTGTTTTCGCAGGTGAAATCAGCGCTACTTCTAGACAATCTGTAAGATTAAGGCGCAAGCCTGCGTAGACTCTGAGAATATCTAATATAAAGTTTTCATTAAAAATTTTCTTTTGTTCACAGGAGTTATTGTCAACAAAATTTGATAGTTCCACTCTTATAATTTCAAATATGTTGTACCGTTTTAAATAAGTAGGGGTGACTGTTATATCTCTCCTGTACTATTATCTCCTGCTTAATAAGTGACATGGATGTCAAGAGAATGTCAATATAGAAAAGAAATAAAAATATATGAACTTATTTTCAAACTCAAAAATGTAAGAAATTTCTTGAGAATCACCTACCTTAAATGTAATTCAATAATGTAATAAATTTTGTTATACTTTCAAAAAAAAAAAAACGATGCTTCTCGGTCACCTAATATTGAAAAACTGCAGATTAGGAACACAAACCCTTTTGAAATATTCCATGATAAAAAATGCTGATCTTTCTGTGCTTTCATATATTTTTCCTTTTCTTATAAAAAAAAACATCACAGATACTTTCCTATCTTAAAAAAATATTTTAATAAAAACAAAAGGAGTCCTCTAGAATAAGAAAGAAACTTAATAAGGTTTGAATTTCCTAGCATTTTTCATTTGAATAACCTTACTCTTTGCCTCCTCAAAATTCTTCCTGAGGGTTGCTATATTTTTCATTTTAGATTCTCTTATTTGAAAACTATAAAAGTTTTTCAATTCTTTTTTCTTTGATCCTTTTGAGACCAATTTATTTTCCACACTCTCCTTTCTTGCTATGCCTGGTTTTCGCCCACCTTTTGTCACTACTGTCCACCCTTCATCGTCCACTACTTCCACCTTTTGGGATTTAATTTCTTTTTTATCATATTGCTTCATATAGTTAGTTACCCTCTTTTGGAGTTCTTCGGGATCACATATACTAGAATTGTACTCCTCTATCCACTTCTCTAATCCTACTTTCAGAGGCCTCTCTGTTGGTGACATAGGTTTCAGTGTTTTCAGGCATAATGCTTTAAGGAGGTATTCCCGTTTATTGAATACTATGAAAGCCTTTTTGAAGCCGTTCCTATTCGAATGACTTTGCTCAATTTCTTCTATAATTACCCTTGTAATTTTGCCAGGTGGAGAAAAAGCATTCTTTAATCCTGCTTCAGTTGCATAAGGAGGCACATTCAATACAAAAAGGGTCTGTCCAAGAGGTTTGCTTTCATCTTTAGTTCTTATTGAATGTTCTTTTATTAGAATGTCATGACTACTTGTACTTTCAGCTGAGAAAATCAAACGTAGCACTAAAAAAAATAACAACGGTGATATTGATAGGTTAAATATTTTCCCATAACTTACCTTTAAAACCTTGAACAGTATTCAACATTTTGAATGAAGACTTGCGAATAAAAATTCATAAATCGAATTGATGCAAAGATATAGATAAATTCTCTTACTTGATTCAAACTTTTTTAATTAGGTTTAAGGTTACATGTTACAGTTACATGGATTTTCTCTTCTTTTTAAAATTTATTGGCATCAGCTACCGGAGCTACCCGGTTACGGTTCTAAAGCCTTTCGTTCTGTCTATTCACATTCTGGGCCTCTGCAAATACGATTTATCTGATTATAGACGATTTGAAAACGGCATCAATCATACCATATCAGAAATTTCAAATGGCAAAACAATATCTATGATGATTCATTTCATAGTATTTAAGACCCCAAAATTCAAATAAAAACCAATATATCAGCTCCTGCCTCTTTTCATGCGTAATTCTTTTTGAAATAGTTCCTAATTGAATGAAAACACGAACCAAATATTCCGTAAACGGAATATTCTGAAAAAACTGTCATTATACAGCTGATATACATCCAATAGTAAAACCATGGCACACACGGGAACACACAGGAAAATCTTTATATAAAGAGACCGTCCGTGAAGAGAACTGTGAGTAGTAGAAAAAAACTATATTTTCTAATAATCTGCATTCAAGTATTCGAATAGACGCCCAAACGGGCGACTACGGTAAACAGTGCATTGATATTTATGTCCTTGAACGTACTGAAATTTCTGTAAATGAATGAGAGCAAACATTCAAATTGCCTGTTAAACGACCAACAAGATGTTAACCATTCGCCATTGTCAAGCCTGTTTTCATAATGCCATTAATAATTCATATTCAAAATTTACCTGCTATCCAAGAATTGAGATTGTGATTATTTTTCAAATTTTACCTATTATTTCATTAACCAAATAAGCGAGGTGACGTATATGAGAATCATAGTACAATGTTTACTATTACTACCGATGAAGCTACGGTGTTAGCGAAACGCATTTAAAATATAAAAAAATATGAAAATTGTTCAGTTATTATTACGGATAATGCGTTTATTGTTTGTATTGTATTTGTACTGAATAATTCCAGTAAACGTGCTAAAATTTGAAGTTTCTTGATTACCGACACAACCATTACATGTTTTTCACCCAGTATTACATGTCAAATATCAGCGTTGCAAATCAAAACCTGAGATAGACTGGAACATTTTTACGAGAATATGTTCGAAATGGGTGTACATTTTACAATAATGTTAAGGCGTTTCATAATTGGCAACTGTTGACATTTCACGTAGAATATTGAGAAGAAAATGTGTAATTTCTGTAATTGTATCGAATAATTTGAATTTTATTAAAATGATTTAGTATTTTGATCATTAGTATCAATATCTAGTGAAATTGATGTTGTTCGTTCTATGCCATGTAAATCTGTGAATTCAATAATCTTTGTGTTGTTACTACAATACAATACGCAACCATCTCAACTACTAACGCCAAGGGCGGATTTATTGGAAAGGGTAATGTAGGTAATTACCCTCTTATCAAACCCTGCTACCAAACACCAGAACTGCAACACAATAGACTTGTGTACTCTCATCCCATGAATAGATAAGAACGGAAGCAAACAATAGCCAATATTAGTGAGAGGGATAGAGACAAGAATTCTAGAAACAGTATGTTTTATGATGTGTTAGATATAGTTAATGTGATTTTTGAGATTTTCAACCTTCCATTTACACGTTTTTAATTTTTAGTTCTCATAGATTTTAAAAACGGTAACACCTAAAACAGTCACAGCCATCTCTGTTAGGTCACGTAAGTAATTAGATCTGACTAGGCTGCAAACACATTACCGCTTAATACTTTCCGTCCTAGTATCGCTGTTTTCCAACATTCCTTCTTCAAAAGATTTTCCAACTCCTCGTTGCATAATCCAAATAAATTTATTCAATTGATATGTAGATAAAAGAACGACGAGAACTGACTCACGCCCTTCAGCGCCCTCTATGAAATATCAGTGTTGCCAAATAAAAAAAAATGAGAAAAATGAAAATTTTCGATTGGCAACTCTGATTAGCAACACTGTTAGTTAATTGATATGTTTGTATAATTTTGATGTATATATTTGCAAAAATTCAATTGTTGGCATCAAGCTGTTGCTGCTTCTTCTCATCTATTTTCATTAAACTTCTTCTGTTAATCTTTGATAGAGTCAGTCGTCTCAGTTTCTTCCAAGTTTTGAGGGATTTTTGGAATGATGCAAGAAGACGAAGAATCAAACGACTGTACTGACTGCACTTTGGTCAAAACAGAAGAAGTGGAAGTTTTTACGTGTTCTGTATGTGCATTCGAATCTGAAAATGTTGATGAAGCTGAAAAACACATATTACTTCACGAAACTGTAGAAGTAGAAGATTCTGAGGAAGAATTTCAAGTTATTTGTGATGAAGTTTCTCAGAAATCGAAAAGAAAAGTCAGAAAACTTCTTAGAGATGGTGAACCTCACAGTGAAATCGACAATAATGATACAAACTATGAACCTCGTCGAAAGCGGAAGAGAAAAAATGAAGAAAGTTTCACGTGTGGTTGGTGTAATTATACTACGACAGAAAAAAGCGAGATGAAACTCCACAGGCAGACACATTCCACCAAAGGTAATACCATATTCAAGTGCTCCCAGTGTTCTTACGAAACCAAGAGGAAAAATGATATGCCAAAACACATGTTAGGACACTGCACTGATGGTAAGAGCCCACCCTTACATTATAATGATGAAATTTTTATGTGTTATAATAGGTGGCAGAAACACCAAAGTATTGAAATTTATTTATAGATCAGTGATTTAATTATGAATTATCAATTAGTAAGGAACAAGTAGCAGTAGTGGATCCGTTTATGTATTCCGAATTGAAAAGTCACAAGAAAGCAGTATGCTAGCCTTTGAACTTTTAGATTTTTTTATAATTTAAGGTAATCAAACAAGAAAATTATCCAGATATTACTGTAATTTTTTACAGTTTTGTCACAGGTTGTTCGATTATTCCCGTCTAAGTTTTCATCTCAATTACTTTGATGCTATTAAGTCCAGAACATAGTTGTTCGACCTTGCTCAGTTTCCATCTTTATCTTGGAGCAGTTTCATCAATTATGACTACAATATCATTTATTGTGATAAGTAAGGAGTCTTGGCACTACTGGTACCAATGAGAAAATGGTTTAATGTCAATGCCTCATAGTCAGCTGGATTGGTTGAATTTTTTTTTAGAGGTCTACTGTTGACCATGTGTCAATAGTATCTCGTTCTTTAACTTCTGTCCATTGAGAATGACGTTAAATTATTTTTCACAGTATGAATCAATCGCTCCTATGAGCCTTCCATATGGGGTAATCCTGGAGGAATGTACTTCCATACAATTTCTTGTGATGTCAGGCCTTGAAGAGTCATCTTACGATAAATGGATGGGAATCTGAGCGTTTCTGGTGAAGTGGTTCATTATCAGGCTAACTCCAACAATAAAATTACTTTGGTGTTGATGCTGCTCAGTTTATGCCATTAGTAAATGTATATTTTTATTTTTTACAGTTGAAATGTTTTCTTGTCCACACTGTACTTACAAGACTAAGAGAAAATGTGATCTACCCAAACATCTTTTGCGCCATAAACCTATTGATAGCGTTCCTCTCTACAAATGTGATTACTGCACATATGTAACCAAAAGAAAAGGTGACCTTCCTAAACACGTTATGAAGCATCAAGAAAAATCTGAGTTGAGTCTTTATAATTGTACAGAATGTGGATACGTCTCCAAAAGAATGAACGATTTACACAAACACATGTTATTACATTGTGACAGGCTAATAACAGGAGTTTTCAAATGTTTGAAGTGTCCCTATGCTTGTGATAAGGTATGTTAATTTTTTTTCTACTGATTTGTCTATAAAGAATGATGAAGTTTCAAAAGAAGTGAAGAGCAGTAGATATTAAAATAATGTAAACCTAAAGAAAAATTCCATATGAAACAAGTCATTTCCCAAACAGACCATGACGTTAGATACCAAAAATTCATAAACGAAACAAATATGATTCATTTCAAAACTCTGTATGTAGAGTGTTGCTGTAAAATGCCTCTCACGATGAATAGGAAATTGAAAACATTTACATCCAATTAATGTTGCAAAGTTTTTTAGAAATGTCTTAACTAAATGACCTGAATATATGATATATAGATTATATCGATCGGTAAGAGGACAAATGTTGTATATCTAGAAAGGTAGTTTTGAGTAAAATCAATTTAAAAGTTGAGCTCACTGTGGCGAGCCTGTATAATTTGTTTTAGTACTGCAATAGCAAATCATTTGCTTATGTTTATGAACATTTCCGTATCATTAGATTCGGGAACTTGGATTACATTACAAGGAATGGTTTGAAAACGTCAACTGTTTCATTATGTTCTTTTCTCAAACAGACTCATTCTGAAGGGTTTCCTGTGTGTTATTAGATATACTTTCTTCTTTATTTCTTCTCGACCCTTTTCCTCTTCAAGTTTTGTACTAAGGATTTTATCTTCTGTTTTACTAAATATCAATATAAATTTCTCAAGTACTTTTTATAGCTGGTTCAAAGACCTAAGTTTTACTTTGATTTTAAGAAATATATCACATATATTCTTCACCCAGATACGTAGAAACTTTAATAATTTTCTTGTAAACATGATGTTATAAAAAATGTAGACGTTGACATCTGTGAATTTGTGCTTATTTTTTCAACCAAATCTTGCACATCCTTGCACTTTGGTACTTCATACATCAATTAACAATGATGTAGGAATTTCTCTCTTGTATTTTCATTAGTACTTCATTTAATACTTCTAGTATTCAAACAAATGAAAAAAAATGTCAGGTAAAAGTACAATTTATATATGAATCTAGCATTATGATTGTGCAGTAACATCATACTTGATTTCAGGTGGTAAAAATTTCCAAGCATATTCAGAGCAGATGTCAGCTTTGGGAAGATTCCATCAGCCCAGAACATCTGATGCTTGAAGATATCCTTAACAGCGCCGATAAAGAACCTATTCATGTCGTTCTAGATCCTGATGATGATGAGTATGTAGAAGAGTATCAGTATGATCAAGGGGAAGGAGAACAGGAGCAGCACGTTCAATATATTTCCTCAATAGATGATGTAAGTTTACTTTTCACAGTACAGTTGCATATTCTACTTCACAACTTGTAAACCTGTTTCAAGTTTATGAAAATGATCATACCGTCAGTGTATTTATGTCTTGGCAAGCCTCAAATCAGAAATTCCTAAAATTAAAAAAAAATCCTTCAACACGAGATGCCTAATTCAGTTCTGAACTATACTATAGTACATTCTGTACTATTTTGTAAAGGTCCTTTATTGTAAGTTTGTAATTTTTATCTGGACATAATTTAGGTTGTCTATAAATTTCTTGCCTACCATTTTCTCTATGTCTCTTAACAGCATGTCTCCATCTTTTTGTTACATTTGCAGCTAAGGTCTCCATTAAACTGCCCTATTTTATTCAATTGTCCTCTAAATGAGCGCAGTGTCCAGTGGGTAGCCCTGTAATTATTGTGAGCTGATTCCTGCTGTCTCGAAGCAGTTCTTCAGGTCTTTTAAGAAGTATATATGAGGTTTTTCAGGTTTACTGACCCATTTCTTGATCTGGTTCTATATGATGATTCATGTCTAGCATACTTAGCTTTTTGGTTGACTGTAATTCCAGAATGTCTAGACACTCAGTATAGAGTTGATCTATTCTGGTCCGCCAGTTTCTTCAGTTCTTCATGGCATTCCCATGCTCGGTTTCTGACCTGACTATATAAGGTGTTTCTGCAAAACATGGCCTCAGGATGACTGTTCATCATTCACTCTTCACAGTTTGTAACTTTAACCATGGAGATTGTCGAAGGTGTAGTTTGGGGTCATCTGGTCCGTGAACAATGTCCGTTTTTTCATGAATTCTGAAATGTCAATTTTCCTCATAACTTTCAGCTCTATGAATTTTCCCGTCTGAATTGGCCCACTTTGTCTCCTTGTTATTACAAGGAGATATATTCAAGAGTATCTCCGATGCTGCACTGTTTTGGACCCAAATGTGTTTTTTGTTTTTGGGCTCTACTTTCATCATACACTCATTATTGTTATGAATTTTTGTTTTAGGGACAGAACTATGTGGTTGATGAAAACGGTCAAGTTATGAGCGTTTTAACAGAAGATGTTCTGGAAAGTGAGATAGTACAAGATGATAATTTTGTAGAAATCAATGAAAATGAAGTACTTATTGAGACAACCACGAATCAAGGAGTATTCAATTTAAATTTAGGGGAGTTCACCGTTGAAGTTCCAAGTTCTTCACATGAATAGTTTTTGAAAAAAAAAATGCAGACCATATGTTATAGGAACATATTTGAATGATCACTTATAATTTTATGAATGTAATATATATGCTCATCAATAAAATAGAAATTATTGTACCATTCTGTTGCCCACTTAGAATAAAAGTTACCCATTATTAACGTTGTTCAATATTATAGATTACATTGCATACTGAATCACCTCGGTATCAAAACTTGTTCTCCAAAAAACAGGTATTTCTCTCCTTTTGGAAAATCTATAAAACAATTGCTGTTCCACCAGCATTATTGAAAATGATGGAGAATGCATATTATCTGTATATTTGAGGGGGGGAGTAAATTTTCTAATAGCATTTCTAAGTGATAACTTCTTATGGGTGGGTCAATTGCTTTGACTCTAACCCATAGCGCTAGCCGTATTTCCAGCAGACGATTCTCTCTCCTCTCTTTGCATGACTCAGTGTTCAGTGTGCGATCGATATATACTGTGGACAGTGAGCATATAACATAAAACTATATTTTCAAATGCGGTTTTTTCTATTGGTTGGGAAAGGGATAAAATGTTCGTAGATAAACAATTTGGTTTTATGCCAACGTTTCGGACTTTATTAAATCCATCATCAGGGCTATATAATGAAATAATTTAATAAGTGAACAGTAAATATTTATTTATTTATTTCATACTCAGCATACATCTTGAGCGACTATCAATATAGTTTTCTTAATCAAAGATTGTTATGATTTTTGGGTTTTTACTAGAATAATTAGTTTTACTTTTCCATAAGAGGATGTAAACTTTATTAGCATCAAACTCATTACATCATCTACAACACATTTCCATAACTATCTAAACTAATGAATTATATTCATGTACAGGTAGTTACCTGAACATTGGTAATTATTATCAACAAGATCGACAGGTGAATGTCACCCAATATCAGAAAATTCATGATTAAAGTGCTTTCGTTCAGGCAAATTGTTCATTTGTTTGGTTAAAAAATCTGTTGCTATGTACAGGTCACATGAAACGCAGTGAAGTTGAATTTGAACCAACCTCCACATAGCGGTTGACTGAATAAAAAAATATATTACTCATGCTTACCAACCTTCGTTGGTACACAGACACTAAGATGCCTAGAAAACCCAGACATCTTAACAGACACATATATTTTTTGTTTATTTTTTTTTCAAGCATTTGGTAAAACTTTATAGCTTTATAGTAAATTGAATTTTGCCTAATATTTATTTTAATTTTCAACACTATATGCAAAAATTATGATTTTTTTCGTTATATGTATTTTATAAAAATCTTCAAGTAAGTAAGGTGGTGCCTACCATATCCTTCATATTTTTATATTGGCATATTTTTATTTTTTTTTATATTGACATAAAACAAAGTTTTAATTTGACTGAAAGCCAATTCAGTGTAATCAGCACTACTTTAATTGGAGTAAACCTATTGCATCTTTATAAAATCTTGTTCCTCTATTTTCAATTTTACGCAAATCTTTACTGCGACATAATGAACCATATTCGAAATGAGCCAAGACTTACTCGTATAATAGTGATAACTAGGTTGACCTCAACAAAAAAAGTTAGATATTTTCTGTTAACCAACTGTCGCACCCCTACGAACGACAACCCTCAGAAGTCGAAACATGTGCGAGCTAAGGATTAACGAAGTCTTACTTTTTAACGTGTGATTCCTAACACGGGTTCGACAATAGCAAGTGAAAATCGATCGTTCAGACTAGGGCTTGAACCACCGACCAACACGGCAGTCAATTCGAGTGATTGAACAAAGCACCCACGTCAAACAATGAGTGCTTAGTTTGTGACTATCAACATTAAAGAAATCTATATATCTGAAATTTTTCACAAAATCACCAGATGATTCTCTTTTAATCTGTAGTAACCCATTTTCTATTCACAATTCTTTGTTTGGCTTTACTTTCATATGCATTTCATTTCTGTTTATTGGTTCCTGAGAGGATTTCAATGTTTCTCAATGCAACATTGATGCAATAGTATTCATCATGATAGAAAAAATTATGGTAGGAAAAAAGTCATTTGTTTGTCTTAAACTTCTTCAGGATGTGTGAGATGAGAACTGAATACAACCACATCCTAGATATTTGTTGCTTTATTTATTTATATAACTAATATATTTCCATTTATTTCATTATAGGAATAAAATCAAGCCGTGATTGATTCTACTAAAGAATTATAACTTGCCTAGATAAGATATGTCAGTGGAACATATAAAAATTGAAAATTTCAACTCCTTGATTCAGTTTCTTCCAAATTTTGTTGTTTCGACTCTACCACCAACTGCTCATACTCGAAGTATATCTTTTCCTCCATGTCACTCTCAGTGACAGTAACTCCAACAATGCTAACTCCATGTTTAACTATCAGATGCTCATTGAGTAAAGTTTCTGAGGAATAAGTTTTTTTACAGAACCGACAGGGTAATTTCCTCATGTGGATTTTTTTGTGTCTTTCCAATCTACAGGAGTGAAAGAATTTCCTGTGGCAAATGTCACAAGAATAGGGTTTACAATCGTCTATGCTTTTTCCTAGATGAAGACGTTCATGATTCTTCAAATCATTACTATTAGAGTAAGTTTTAGCACAATACTGACACACATATGGTTTATAACCAGAATGTATCCACATATGTCTGTTGAGCCTAGTAGAATTTACAAATCCTTTTCCACACTCATTACACAAATAAGGTCTTTCCTTCGTATGGTATGTTCTGATGTGCAACTGCAAATTCTCTGACTGTGAAAAGTACTTGTGGCAAATAGTACAACAAAAAGGCAGAACACCAGAGTGTATCCTTTTATGCCTTTCCAAATTTGATGCGATTTTGAATGCCCGCCCGCACGTCTCACATGAAAATGGTTTAATATCCTCATGAGTTTTCATATGACCTACTACTCCCGCCCATCTCACAAAACCTTTGTGGCACGTTGGACATCTGAAAGGACGTTCACCAGTATGAGTTCTCACATGGACCCTAAATGTACTGGGATTTGGGTAGAGCTTGCCACAAATTTTACAACGATAGTCTTTAATAATCATGTGTCCCTTCAAATGTGCGATAAGTTTTTTTCGTTCTTTAAATTCTTTCTTGCAAATGTTACACTGCAGCAGATTAACCTGGCATAACTTTAACTTGTGTTCTCTTAATGTTTTAACATCAACAAACACTTCATCACAACTGTTACAATGGTATTCCAAGTCTACAGGCTTATCAACAATACTCTCTAAAGCCATTATATTTACCAAAGGTTTTATTGGTATTAATGGAGGTGTATCTTCGGGAAGATTCAATTGAACTGGTTCAATTATGTCCATTTTCTTCCCAAAGTCTAAAGGTACAAGAGGTGGGGGACCTTCACCAATTATTTCAATACGTTCATTGCATTGGACAGTGTTTGAATTCATTTCTTTTTTTTGTTTAAGAATCCTTTTACTAAGAGGGGTGTCTTCTTCACTAAGTTCTTCGTTTTCTGAGCCACGATTTTCGTCGATGTCTGCTTTAGTAATAGCAATGTTTAATATGTCAAATGATTTTCTTCTATTTTTGATATTTTGTCGAAGAATTTTGTCACTATTTTCGATTTTTTTCTTAAAGGTATAGAATTTTATGACCATGTGGTAGCAGATAACACATATGTTACAAGGTAATCCATCATGTTTAGAGACCTGAAAGAAATTATTTTAAAATGTAATGAAACTACTCGAAAAAGGTTTGTTTGTTTACTTTAACAGAAGTGCAACTCTCTATCATTTTTGGGATTCTAGTTTTGTAAATATCTCTCAAATGAACTTTGTCATTTAGACATATTCGACAAAGTTTCTCTATATTCAAGTTCTCTATATTATTCTTCATCGACTTGCATCTATTCATGATTGAATTTTGATTGTGCTTATGTTGGAAATTTATATTTATTCTCAAGAATCACAAAAAAGGTTCGTACTAAAACAGAATCAATGCTCTGTCACCGAATATTGGTTGTGTTCTGTTGTTCTGTAATGAGCCTTTTTCCTGAGAATAGTTCAGCAAACGTGTCACGAGAGGCAGCACTAGTAGTAGGGACAAACAAACTATTCACATGTAAAACAGTGTTATTTACGTTATATTAATTTATTATTTAAAATATAAATCTGATATAAAAAATTATTTTGTGCTAGTATAATGCCAACAAAGCATTGCTGTTTTGCGAATTGTACGTCGGATACTCGATATACGGAAGAACACGTGTTTTTTATACCATTTATAAAACCTCATAATAATGAGGTTAGATGTAAGAAATGGATACATGCTTCGAGGAGAGTGGATTTAACAGTGCAAAAAATAAATAAATATTCATATGTATGCTCTAAACATGAAATGAATAGTAAATTTTTCATAGTTAATTACCATTGAGAAGATATAACCTCAATCGTTCATTAAATTATATTCATTTATTATATTCAATTAAATTTATTTCATTACCATATATATTTGATTCATATTTCATTCGAAAATTAATCTGAAATTCATAATTATTTTAAATTTCTTTCATTACCGTTACTCTTTTACTAGAGTCTGCATACTAACCTGTCTATTAATTCACTTTTTTTCAGTTACTTTTAAATTACGGCATGCAAGCCAACGTTTTAATGTTACAACATTGTTATCCTTTGCAGTTGCAAATTTTAGTTTTGCTCCAGGAACATCTTCTGCTGTTAAAAACATTATTTTTTAATTGTACTTTACCATATGTTTATATGAGGATTAGGCAGTGTTTGTCCCTACCGAACTACTAGCGCTGCTAATGAGCTAATGAGTGATTTTTCGTACTTCAGGAAAAAAGGTTTATTGAACGTAAGTACCTAAACGATCAATACAATCAGCCTCTCTTCTCTTGTCTGAGCAATGAGCACTCAGAGGCGTTTTCTGACGCTCATGTATTCAAAATTCAAAACCTATTCCTCTGTGATTCAAATACACTCATTTTGGCGTTGAAACGATGACGTCACATCAACTATGATTTGAAACGTATTCCCGTATTCATGATGATTCAAAACTAGCGTGAGAGTCTTTTCACACACACACACGGTGTCTGCATAAACGGTTTAGTGACGGTTCTAGTAATATATGTATTTGAACGAAAGCTTTCAGACGCCTTGACCGCGCCGTTATCGTAGAGCGGTCGTGAAAGTCGCACGGTCGCGGTTCGTTCAAGGCGGCCGTACAACTAGTAGATATTGGTTTTGCATCCGTTCGTCCACATACACAGGACACAGTCACAGCATACCTAATAGATATGCTGGGAAGAAGGAAGCATGGAAAGAAGTCTGTATCTGTATAGAATCAAACATTGATTTCCATGTTTATAATGACGAGGAAAAATAAATACGGCAAGTTAACATATATATTTTCTATATTTTTAACATTTGCCAAGGCAAAGCACCTGCATTTGACGTAAAATATTCTCTCCAAATATTTCGCACGTTATTTGCTGTTAATCCTCCATGTGTTTCACGTTCTCTATATGTCATCAAGGCCCACAATTACACCTGTATCCTCCACCCGGTATCCATCTCTATCACGCACAAAATTATGCAAAAAGGCACATGACTTTACTATGATTACTGCAAAGTCAGTTTCCAGGTTCATCGCTCTGTTAATTATTCTCCACTTCAAGTGGACCACTTGTTACTTAAAAGTCCAAATGTACATTCCACATACCTCTGAACCCTACTTAGGCGATAAAATTAAAGATTCTTTTTTTTTATTGTAAGTAGAGATCCACCAAATAGACAAAGTAAATGCTTGTAAAGGGCAAATGCTTCTTCTCCAACGAAATAATAAGAGAGTTTGCAATTTTATATTCCAGAAACAGACTTTTCAATAGGTATTTCGTGATCATTATTGATGATTGATGTCTACATACATCTGTTTAAAAATCTGTTTTTCCGTTAACCAGCTGTCGCACCCCTACGAACGACAACCCTCAGAAGTCGAAACTTGTGCGAGCTAAGGATTAACGAGGTCTTACCTTTTAACGTGTGATTCCTAACATAAAGCGATAACTTGCGTCAGCAACAGTCATTGCAGTTATAATACATGAAACTGATTCTAATATGTTTCCATCGACTGCCCCTATGAAATTAGGAAAATTGGCTAAATTCGGTGCAAATCGATTCCCATTTATCTTCAGTAAGTGGAGGTTTGCACTCGGCCAACATTAAACACCAGATAGTGGATCAAATATCTTTAACAATAGTGCTGATGGTTGATATGCAAAGTCTATACTGGAGGTGCAAGTCAGTAAATGTACATCCACTCGCCAAATACCTAGGAAGGAAACATTTCTATTATTAATTTTTTATCTACAGGTAATGAGGTTGTAAAAAGATGGGTTAACATTCGGAATGTATTTAACAAGTTTTTGAAGAAAGAAAAATCGCTCAAGTCTGGTTCTGGTACCTCAACTTTAAAAAATTACATTTACGCTGAAAAATTGAAGTTTCTAACCACAATATTCACGCATAGATCTACTGAAGATAGTTTATCTGCCAACCCCGCCCAAAGAACTTCCGAAGCCGATGTTTCAGAAACTTATACTGAAAATAATAGTACTCAGCCTGAAGCACCGCCTCGAGAGCAACTTGGCTCTCATAAAAAAAAACATACGACGTTGAACTTACAATGATCAAAGCTTTAAAACAGGCAGAAGGTCGCCATATTTCATTTTTTTAAGGTATCATCCTACCGTTACATACATTCACAGAAGACAAAACTCTACAATATCAGACTGGCGTTTTATAATTCATTACCAATATTAAGCAGAGCCGGTCTCAATCAAACCATCTACTTTCCTTAGCCGGAACTTTTGTATGTAACAACTATATTCCTCGGCAAAATAGTACCGAACATGTTCACCGTTTCAATTTGTTATTACCAAAAGAAAACCAGCTGTGACTCCTTCACATATCTCTATTAACAGAAATATGCCCACATATAATCAAACTAGTGCGAATTATCCCCACGAAGCAAACGACCGTGAATATTTTCAACAATACGATCCCACACATAAAAATTCATCTTCTGTTAGTAGTGCTTTTACACACTTTTACACTGTGTTCACGAATTTAGATTTTACCTCAGAGTAACATAGTTTGACGTTAGTTTCTGCTTTATTTTGATCGTTAAAATTCATAAAGTACTGACAATTTTTTATCAATTACGTTGCTAGGATTTACAAAATGAAGCTGGAATATTATTAAATAGGTATTATGTATTATCATTTAGTAGATCATATAACACTTTGATAATTCCATTGCTTTCTTCATATTTTTAGTTGACTAGATGAAGAAGAATAGCTACTTGGTCCGTATTTTGAAAATAAGAAAAGGATTCTGGTACACTGGTTTTGAAAATACAGCTACATTTAAATTGTAAAGATTGTTTTTATTATTGAATTTGAAATCTGAGACAAATTGAATCATTCCATTCTGCTCGAAAACGATTGAACGCCAGAAAACACCTCAGTACTGATAGTTCGTGCGTTCCACTGAGCACTCACAACGATCAATATAACCGTTCCACATAATGACCCCAGTCGTTGTGGTCGCCTCGAAAACGTCACTCATAGCGTCATTACTTTCGCTCACGGCAAGCTCACAACGACCCATCTGAAGAGGTGGGTCGAAGTGGACGTTGAGAATATTTCGGCGCAATTTTTGAAATATGACATAAATGTTATCTGTCATTCGCAATTCATTTCAAATTTCTTAACATTATTCAATCTCATAAGTAATCAATGCAATGAATCAATCCTGGCTGTATCCATCAATAAATTGATGGATAGCTGTTTTTAGTTAGCAACGTTGCCACAGCACTAAATCCACGTTCACACAAATACGATGATGGAAATGCTTTCCAAAGTGTTTCCTGGAACACAATCCAGGGTACAATTGCGGGATTGGCTTTCGCAGCCAAAATTCTTGGTACCCATTTTTGAATTTTATTTCCTCGTTCGTTATCAGTTCTATGAATTCTTCTTCCGGCTAGGGTGATCCTGCTGTGTTGACAACACCCAGTCCGGTATTTCCAATTTTAAAATGTCCTGGAATCGTTCTGCGAAATCACTGTGGAGGTTCTCCAAATGTTGGCAGTAAACAAGCAAGTCGTCATTGTTGAAGAATAACTGCTGAGAAATTGCGAAATAATGTCTGCCGATATTGTTCTTTATAAGAACAATTTGGCTACAAAAGCAGCAATCACATTTTTTGTTTTAATCAAATTGAATTCATCACTTTGAAGTTGAAGATTGACATCATTAAATAATTTATACAGATCTGTCATCCTTTGAAGTAATGGGGTTGTCGTGCAATTCTTTGTCTTTGTTTCCCAAGAACTCTATTACAGAGTCAAATAGATTGTAAAATTGAGTCAGACAGTTACCTCTTGATAACCAACGCACTTCTGTGTGAAATAGCAATCGGTTGAAATCTTCAACATTAGCAACACAAAACTGATTGAATAATCTGTCATTTAAAGAGCTGCTTCGGATTTTATTAACTGCTTTGATGATATATTGCAGTGATTGAGAGAGGCGCTCACTCAAATTTTTCGCAACCAAATGTTGCCTATGAATGACGCAATGTACAGCAAGCACATCTAGAATTTTATTTTTCAAGTACGCTATGAAGCCTTTGTGACGTCCTGTCATAGCCGGAGCGCTATCCGTAGAAGCTGATATAATATTCTTCAGTGGAATTTCTCATCACAAAATTTTTCCAGTTTATTATAAATGGTTTCTCCTTTTGTATCCGTCTCTAAATTTCTGGCAAATACTAGTTCTTGATATATTTTCTCATTTTTAATAAACCTCACGTATGACAACAACAATACTTCATTGGTTGGTAAAGTGTTCTCATCTAACTGAATTGAGAATTTAGAAGTCTTCAGATGATTGCATTATGACTCTTCAATGTTTTCAGCCATCTCATTAATGCGTCTTTGCACGGAACTCTTGCTTGAAGGAAGTTTTTGGATAATATCTGCCGCTGGTTTATGGAGCACAGTAGTTATTACTTCTTTTATTGCCGGTAAAATTAAATCCACTCCAATAGTGTGAGGTTTACCAGTTTGAGCAATTAGCAAGGAGATATTGTAGGAAGCTCGGAGTCCGTCTTCGTCTTGCTTAGAAGCCGCTGAAAAAAGTTTTGACACAGTTGACTGAGCTGAGTGTTTCTTTTTCAGTTCTTGAAAATAAGTCACACTTTTGTCTTTTTTACCTGGACGCATTTTATTCAAATGATCTTGTAGCCTTGAGGGTTTCATCGCTTCATTCGAAAATGTTTTTTGACAAAGAAGGCACATAGGAAAGATGGATTTGTGGGATTTTCAATAAATCCATATTTAATATATACCGCGCTATACTGCCGTTTCTTCTTTTTCGCTTCCGACATAAATTGACTTAAAAAATGCCGAAGTAAAGAATCGAGTATTAAAAACTTACTAATGACACCACTCACAGTATTCACCACTACACGTACAGCACTTTACCTAGCTAGTCGCTAACTAAATTCACTTGTTTTCGTAATATCGTCGAACGACATTACTGGCTGAATGACGCGCGCGTTTTTATATGAGGCAGCGGGCGGGCCTAGTACTTTCGAGAATGGAGACTAGAAACTTCTCGCTTCGCATTGAAGCTCACCGCCATCTATTGTACAGTTTGACAACTATCGGAGATGAAATAGTTACTGTCTAGTCTCCTAGATGGCGTTACACGAGCAAACGCGCGTTAAGCGTAAAGGAGCGGTAAAGTTTGTGTTAAGAGCAAAAAAAAATTTAAATTAGCTATCGCCCCCCTAAACCGCTTCAACGCCCCCCAACCTTCTCTGTGCCCTTTACTGCCCCCCTATAGGCCTCCAGCTCTCACAAGGGGGCGTTATCGTCCACTTTGAGAAAGACTACTTTACATGAACGCCCAAAACGTTCCATAATCCATTCCAATTGATTATGACAGTAACGTTCGCAAGCCAGTAGTGGAACGGGAAAAACTGCGGTCGTGAGCGCACAGTGGAACGCAGGGTTAGTGAAAATCAATAACGCTATTCAAATTTGAAAAATAAAATCATTAGAGAAATATCTTTCTTATGATGCACTGTTTGGAACCTTTGGTGTAGTAATTAATATTATTGGAGTTCTTTTCAGCACCAAATCGTTATTTTTAACACCTTGACACGTGTTTCGGCCATCAAGTGATCAATCTTCAAGAGGAAGATTAAACTTCCTCGTTCGATTGATGATTTATTTATTTTGTAGAAATTCATGTTGAATATAGAAAACACTTTTGTCTAGTTTCTACTGTGTTTATTTATTCGTTACGACCGTAAATAAACACACGAGTGTAAATAAACGAGTAAATAAACACAGTAGAAACTAGACAAAAGTATTTTCTTTATTCTATATTAAACTTCCTCTTGAAGATGATCACTTAGTGATCGAAACACTTGTCGAGGTGTTAAAAATAATGATTTGGTGTTGGGAAAAACTACAGTAATATTAAAATATCTTTCTGTTTGAGATCTCTGAAGGCAATATGAATTATTAGAAAATTATATGTTCTTCATATGAAATTTTCATAATTTTTTGTGTTTCCATTTTTTATTAGTGCACCTACCTGTGAACTCTCTAACCCAAATCTCCAGGCTTTAACATCCAAGAATAAGAAACCCAGTAGAAGTAATTATATTCTTCTTATTCATGCTGGGACAAATTATGCAGTTAATAGATCTGGCCAAATATACCAATTTTGAGAGCTACGAGTCTTGAGCAAACGAAAATCAACAGAATAGGTTTTGTTAAGTTAACCTGGACTGACAAGCGCAGATTTGATGGTTCTAAATTAACATTATTTAAAAGTGATATTATCAAACTTTTATTGAGTTTCAATACACTGGTGAAAATCAATAACACTTTTCATAGAAAGTTATTTACATTCAATTGTAGACTACTTAAATTCGAAAAATAAAAGCATTAGAGGAATATCTTTCACTCTTTGAAATGTGTAAGGCCGATTTAGATTAAAAAAAACTTTTTCCAAATACCAAAAATACTCTTCTAGATGAGCGTTTCATCAACCAAGTTGGCTTCTTCGGGAGATGAAATAGTTTTCACGCGTTGAGAAGAGTATTGCATTTCTAATGATTGGGAAAAGTGCTTGTTTTTTGATTTATTCCACTTTCATCTTTACCAATATAAATTATTCAAAACAAAAATTTGTGATAAGCATCATGAATAGTGTAACTTTTATTGAATCAACATGCAACTTATATTAAAAATACAAAATTTAGCACGTTTTCATCGCCTTACATATTTATATGGGATGTATCTTCTGTCACAAGAGTCGTTTCTTCCATATATCCGTGTACTGTGATTAGATGTTTATTCAATATATTTTCTGATGAGTAGGTCTTACTACAAGTCTTACATTGATACATTCCCTCGTGAATTTTTTTGTGTTTAGCAAGACGCCAAGGATGAGAAAATTTTCTGTTACAAATATTACAATAACTTTTCTCAGAAGAACCACCGTTCACATGGCGTTGTTCATGAATTTTCAAATTTTTAGATGTTGTGTAAGTTTTTGGGCAATACTGACAGACAAATGGCTTGAACCCGGTATGTACTCCCATATGCCTCTTCAGTCTTGGGGAACTGACAAATCCCTTTCCACATACATTGCACAAATAAGGGCGTTCATGTGTATGATATGTAAGGTTGTGAACCTCTAGGTGCTGTGACTGTGAAAACTGTTTGTCACAGACTGTACAACAAAAGGGTTTAATATTTGCATGTAGCTTTTTATGTTTCTCCAAATATTCAGGAACTTTAAAAGACCGCCCACAAACATCACATATATATGGCCGGCTTTCACCATGAGTTTTTAAATGTCTATCAAGTCCACCTCTTGTTACAAAACCTTTCTTGCAAACTGTGCAACAGAAAGGACGTTCTCCTTTATGAATCAGTAGGTGATTTCGAAATCTACTAGCATTCGGATATTGCTTATTGCAAATTTTACAACAGTAACCTTTAACAATCACATGTGCTTTCAAATGTTTAATGAGCTTCGCTTTATCAAAAAAACCTTTTTTGCAGATATTGCACTGCAGTAAATTTTCTTTACATGTATTCAGTTTATGCTCTTCGAATAAACTACTTTTTTCAAATTTTTTATCGCAATTTTTAGAATAGTACTCTTGGTTTTCTATCATTGGAACAATGTTTTCAAGAGCATTAATGTTCACACCTGGATTTATAGGAATTAAAGGAGGTACATCTATATTCACTCCCGCCTCAGATTTATTATCAAACACTAATGGTATAAGAGGTGGAGGATCATTTTCATGTGCTTCGTGCATTTCTTCTGACTTAGTCAACCTTTCACTGAGAGGAATATCCTCTTCATTGATTTCTTCTCCATTCGTAGCACTCATACTCTTACTATTTATATTGGCTTTGGTTAAAGCTAAATTCAAAATATCCCTGCGCTCTGTTTTATTTTTAATGATCTTTCGAAGATACTTTTCATTATGCTCTATTTTTCTCTTGAATGAATAAAATTGTTTCAGCCTATAGAAGCAAGCTATGCATATGTTATGAGGTAGGCCATCACCTTCCATCACCTGTAATAATAACTTATATAATTTTTCAAGTTGAGGTACTGAATTACCTTAACAGAAGCACATTTTTCAATTATTCTACATATCCTGCCTTCATAAATATCTCTTAAACGATTTGTATTGGCGAGACATATTCGACAAATTTTTTTAATATCCATGTTTTTTATATCTGATCTCAAATCAATTGAATGAACTTGAATTTATTGATTTATATTATTTGAATTAGAAAAAGTAACAAGTGTGATTTTATCAACTATAAAACTGTGATATTATTAACTTCAACAAAGTCCAACTTCTTTATTTCTATAAAACTTTAACAAAAATAATTGCGTTAACTGTTAACTGTTAATTCAGTATTGAGTTTGGTATGGTTGGCGTTGCAATCAGGATTGCCACTTGTTGTTACCAATGATGCCAAATGACAAGGTGTTTTCTGGCGTTTAATCGAAATCGACCGTGTATTCAAAAAGATTCGTAGTGACGTCATTAATGATGAGATTCGCCAGAATGGAATGATTCAATTTGTGTCATATGTCAAAATTAATAATAAAAACGAACATTTCAATTTTACCTAAGTTCATTTAGAATCGGATTTGTGCAAGTAGTAATTTCCCAGCTTCATTTTGTACATCCTTACAACGTACTTGATAAAAAAGTTTTCAACATTTTATAAACTTTAACGATCAAAATGAAGCAAAAACCGACAACTGACGTAACGTAATGTCAAATTCCGTTTCGAAACCAACCTCGCGTAGTTTTGAATCATCATGAGTACGTTTAAAATCATAGTTGATGCGACGTCATCGTTTCAACGCCAGAACGAAAGTATTTGGATCACAGACGAATACGTTTTGAATACATAAGCGCCAGAAAATGCCTATAAAAGTACTGGATATTACTCAGAGCATTTGAGCAATGCAGATCTGGTGTCTCCAGAGCCGTGTAAAAAAGTGTATTTTGAGCATTTTTGATGAGGTCTTTTCATGTTAATACACTCCAATTATTTGCCACTTATTTACGTGATTTATTCCATTCGTCACGGTTCGTAGGTTTTGTAATTGATCAATATTTTAACGTATTGCCTGGTTAATCATATAGATATTTCAGGCACATATTATTATATCATTTTCATTCAAACAACACATTTTACTTAGTTTTAGCGATAGTAAGGCCTCGCGACACAAGCCCTTCCTCATTCATCAATACCTACATGAACTTTGTGAAATTATAAAACAACGATAAAAACAAAAACAACAATAAAAATTAATTGGCGCTCCGGGGTGATTTCATTGATTCCAGTGGCGCATTTTCTTTTTCAGCTGCAGGAAAACCCGGAAAAACCTGCAGCACCACATCGTCTGAAGATCTTGATCAGCCAATGTCCGCTCTCATAAAATGAAATGTAGGGTGTATCCAGAGGCTCCAATAGATTTAATACATCGTCAGAGCACTTACTTAAACTATATGAACTATTGCCCTGTTTTTTCACTAGTAATAAATCACTAAATATACACTTAATCAATGACGATTGCTATCAAAATCAAAAGAACAAAAAACCATGTTACAAAACTCTATGAGAAAAAAATGAATTTGGATTATTTCCATCACCCATCTCAAATATGGGCTTGTTTTGTTAAAATTATTGAAATGTTGACCCAATAACCTGTCAAGATGATATCGTATAAGTTCCTCGACTGCAATCAAATCATATATCGGATAAGTTTAAAATAACTTAAGTTTTCCGCTAAAAATGACATCTGGAACACAGAATATATGTAATTATCAGTTCATACATTTGAGTAGGGACCGTTTAGAACTTCGAATTTTCTCTTGCGCACTAATAACATTTTTCATTTGCGTTGTGGATTTGTGGGTTTTCGTAGTAACGTTTTCTTAATCTCATTTTTATCCGTATTTTAGTTGGTGTTTCATTTGGAATTTTATCTACAATACTGTCTCCGCTAAAACAAAGAAACTTGGAGAGTTCATTGCGACCTGTAAATAAGACAGAATTATATATCAACATTAATCTTAAACCATAACAGATAGACGTAAAATATATGTAGCAATAATAATAATATTTATTATTATCACATCTTTTACAATTCCAAAAATTTATTCTTGACATGTTTGTGTCAAACTTATTAGTATAAGATTACAAAGAGAGGACAATATATTTTCAATTTAATTTTGGATAACCGGATTCCTGGTACTCTCATTTTTTTTTAAACATCATTACACTTTAATTATATATATGCTTAACTTTTTCACTCTTGTCTTTAAGTTTAACTCAAAAGTCCAATGATCGTTATACCAGAGTAGAGGTACCTAACCTCCAATCTTTGTTTATACACTTGTCAGAATATTTTTTTTATATGTTTTGGTTTTTTACTTGTTGGGACCGTTCCAGAACTGTTCTGTGACTGTAATGTTCTGCGCAATGATTCGTCGTCGATACGGGACGGTTCAATAACTGTTCGAAATACAGAACCAAAACAAACCTAGTGCTGCCAGATGAGTGTTTTCCTGTATGGTATTCCATGTCAGAGAACACCAATATATTCTTTGTGTTCTATGTAAATTTGTTGTAATAACAAGAATCACTGGAATTCCATTGATTGTCAAAAGTTTTTTGTTTTTTTTTTGAAAAAATGGAAGAATGCGAACTTCGAAATATATGTCGAGCATGTTTAACTGAAGAGGGAGAATTTCAATCAGTATTTGTACCAGAAGTGAGCTCAGGAATCTCCTTGCATATTTCGGAAATGATGAGTGCCTGTACTGCAATTCAGGTGAAAAATTGCAGTTATTAAAAGATTTAAATCCTTATATCTCATTCCATGTAAATTGAACGGTATTATAGAAGAATGAAGCAAATTTGTGGACTTTATTAAAAAATTATTTTACAACTTATATAGATTAACAACATGCATTTCTTAGTAATAGATATAGTAATCTACCTAGTGTTACAGTACCTTACTGCTACAAAGATGAACAGTCAGGTTGTTTAAGTGTAATACCAATACTTAAATTGCGTTCGGGGACGAGTTATTTAACCTTTAGCTTTTTGATTTTGTATCACATCACAACCTAAACTTATCAGGGTTTGAGGAACCTATAGTAATCCATTGTGACACAGGTGGTTGAATTGTTTATCTTCAGAATTTAGTTGGTATAATGATTCCAGATGATTTTATCATCTATAATGTTACAAAAATACAAATACATGTAATTATCTAAAATTCTATTGAATATTTTGAATAAGTTATCTTTTGAACGTAACAGGTCCTATTATACCTTTGCAAGGAAGATCAATATTCTATCATTTTTATAATGTAGAAAAATACGATGCCATTTGTTACTTCATTTTATGTATCTTGTAATTGTTATTTGTAGTAAATAAAAACGTTTATTATGATTTATTACTGAAGAAATTCGATTTTTCAACAATGAAAATCTTATTTTAGATATACCATTCATAATTTTGCTGCAAGGTGTTATACCAGTAGGAATATATGCATTTTCTGCAGTTGAATAGCTTCACATTGATAATTCCTGGCATTTTTGAATTTTGATTCTGTTGAAATAAAAGACTTCCTAAAACGAGTCAAATATAAAGGCCAATCACTAAATTTGCCTAGAATTGTTACATGGTTTTCATGAAATTCATACAGGGTTTTATCTGACTTGTCACTAATCAACACTTATTATTACAAATTTTGCTATACACTCAAATAACCAAAAATTATGAATTTTAAATGAAAATGTATTTGGGAAACTTATTTGGTCTCATTGAAGATTCCTTGAAGAATTTTCTTGAAAATGAAAAGTCAATTGAATATCTTTTGAAATACAATGACAGTTTTTGCATACACTGGATATTGAGTATTTGACTTGATATGAAATTCTTAACATCCAGTATATTATGTTCGATTTTGTAAGATATCGAACGGACATTTTTACCATTCTATGAAATTTTCTCTGAGTATTTGAGAAAGAAGGCAACTTTTGTAGTTCCCAAAATATTCAAAGAACGTATGTTTTTATTAAATTCATATATTTTTGTTTTTTGTATTTTCGAAGTATAAGCACAATTCTATCCTATATCAGGGAAGGTTCGAATATTCCTGCCAGATGGAGAAGTAACTGAAGAATCCGACCTTGAATCTACAAAAGAGATAGATGACGACTGAATGGCCCAACTGAATATAATATCGGATCTAGAGCCAGAGCTTTTCAGTTCTCTAACTCTTGTTTTTGTTAACAAACCTTCTCAACAGGAAGCGACTTTTCACCTCCTCAGGTGTCGTTTTTGTTTACATTTGTTTGCATTAAGTTTGTGTTTATTAGAATGGAAATATTTTTACAGCTTTTATAGGTATAGTATTTCTATAGCTTTCAGAGAAACTGAGGTCGAAGATTAATCTCATAAATCTTTTATGCATAATAAAAATTCATGATATTTTGGTGGCTCTCCTTCAGACTTCAACTGATCCTGCTGTATAATAAGGCATAATACATGTTGACCAGATAGCTTCTGTGAAAATTGTTTCAAGGTGATGAATGTGAAATATAGTTTGCTCAATTTATTACATAAGTAATCTGTACGGGGGCTGAAGCTTTATGACAAGGAATTTGGTTACTTGGGATGTTGACAATTCATTATTATTAATATTGAATTTTAGATTGTTAGGTGGTTTATTAGCACTTGTAAACTCTATAAAGGATAGTTATATCATCAGCAAATGCAAGAAGCATACTATATTAACATCATTAATAAATAAATTGAATAGTAGTAGACCACAATTAGATCCCTGTGGTACAGCAATAAGACAAGATGTATAAAAAAGTATTATATATGAAACAATAAAGCTCATCTATCTATCGAAAAACTCACTCTAGCTGTTTTGTTGCTGTTTTCATACTTACATATTATATTCGGGAACGTGTTGAATTTTTCAGCATCTTTATGCTAAACCCGCACTTTTATTCCCATCCCATTGCAAACCTTCAATCATTTTGCGGTGCCTAATCAGCGGAGGTATACCAGGCATTCGCCTGGTGTGCCTACGGCCAGTTCGCCACTGAATGCCAGGAATATCTTTTATGCCTCCTCTAATAATGTAGTATCCTTATATCAATATTGAATTTTTCAGATAACGCTTGGGGATGGTTTACCTGAACAGATTTGCACATCCTGTGTTAGTAATACAGTCCACATGTATCTCTTTAAGCTGAAATGCGAAAGAAGTGACAAGATTTTGAAAGAACGACTAGAAAAAGGTACTATTTTTTTCGAGGATGACCTGTTAGAGACGGATGGTAATAATGTAGAAGAAATAATAAAAGACGAAGTCATCGAGAGCAAAGTAACTTCTAAGGAGACAATACTGGATGAATTTGATTCCTTTGATTTCGATGCATATAGAAGTGATAGCGAGGAAGAAGAACAAACCCAACCTAATGAAGAATCTTCCTCAAAAGAAGTAATCAAAGTGAAAAAATTTGAGTGTGATATTTGTCAAAAGAGATTCAGTCGTTATGACTTACTTTTAAGACACAAAATAGCTCATGCCATGAAAATGGAAGAACAAAACGTACAGTATGATGGGACTTATCATATGGAAGATGATTTGGATATCAAAAGAGAAGATGTTGTATATTCATGCTCTCGTTGCGAGTCTTTATTTATGCACAGAGATGATCTCGACTCACATTTGAAAACTCACGTGAAAGAATATAAGATCAGTTGTGAAGTATGTGAGAAAAAATTTACCAAAATGGCCCACTTAAATAGGCACTTGAGAACGATGCATTTTATTGAGAAGCAGTATAAGTGTTCAATGTGTGAAAAGGCATTTCACAGACAGGAGCAACTTAGGAATCATATGAATGGCCATACAGGTGCAAAGCCACATGTTTGTGATATTTGTTGTAAGGGTATGTAAAACACTCGCTTACTGAAATATAATCATAAGGTAGGTTGGTATAAAATGAGTAGGTTTAACCGATTCTCCACTGCAACCTGTGACAGTCTATTGCGGCTCATAGCTATTCAAACCTAACCAAATAAATCTAGCTTCTCAACCAAGCTACTTACTTTATTTGATGAGTGATCTATCAGGTCAGCTGGTAAGAGGGCACCTCTGCCAAATGCTGAAAACCTCATCTCAATGGTAGGGCAGGAAAAGAAATGGTGGCAGGGTCTGAATTTCCTTGTAAAGAATACTTTCCTTCAAGGTTTACAGTCTGTGGAACATTTTCCTTAATCTAGTGAGGTCATGATCTGCGGTCAGATTGTGACTACTTTCGTCAGGTACGTAAGCAACACAAATTTGTGTTGCTCACTACCTTAAGGCATCTACCCTTCAATGAGTGGACTAGAAGGACAGTTGGAGTCATTTAGTCGACGTACATCTCCTCTGCAGATTCAGAGTCGGTTTTGTTGGTTACTTCATGGCCCATTAAAAGTCCCACGCGAGTAGCTAAGGAGAGGAGGTCCATCACGGTAGAGTCCCACATTTCCGAGACAAGGCTTTCTACGACAAGAGAGCACCTGATATCTCGAAGGTTTTGTTAGTGACACTGAGTGTCAGAGTCATACATCCTTTTGACCCAGGATGAGGCATCATTCAGAAAGACTTACCTTCACAGGTGACATCTCACCCAGCATGGCTATTCTAATGCTCTCTGCTGCAGGACAAATAATTAGTAGGAATAATATTCCAAGCACAGCCCATACATAGAGAAAGTTTAGTTTCCTGACGAATTAAAAATTGCTAGAGTTCTTCCTACCTTAAGGAAACGTGATGTAGTTGATACTGAAAAATATAGACCGATATCAATATTTCCTATCTTGGGAAAAAAATTGAAATTATTTAGAAAAATCAACTATGAATATTTTTCGAAAAGTAATTTATTTAATCTGAATCAATATAGTTTCATATAGTCATCTTCAACTACGCGAGCTCTAAAAAAGTTATTGACTGTATTGTAAATGATTTTGAGGAAGGAAAACATACAGTGACTACTCTGTGTGATTTGAGTAAAGCATTCTACTGTATTCAACGAAAGTCATTTTTTGTGGAGGAAAAAATCAGTTTTTCATTGACCTTTTTTGGGTATTTGTTACCTTCCACAATCTGAAAAATATAAAAATTAGAATGGAGAACTTTATACAAGTGTAGAAGGGCAAACTTTTAAGTTTACCCCGATAAGTTACTGCGTAAAAATCAAAGTATTTTTCACAAAGAAAAATCTTCTATTTATCAGTAACTTGTCGTATTTAACAATTTTGCCTGTCAAAAAAATATTAAGAAATAATACTTATCTTTTACGTTTCGGAGGCCAAAATCTGCCTCCGTCTTCAGAAATGGATAAGAAATTTGAATATATTCGCAGTTATCCCTTTTTTGATATCTTATTTCTTTACTTTTTCGACAGATGTCAAAGAAGTTTTGAAATATATGTATAAAGTTCTCCATTCTAATTTTTATATTTTTCAGATTGTGGAAGGTAACAAATACCCAAAAAAGGTCGATGAAAAACATTCTACCGTGTACCGCATTCTATTTTGCTTTGAGAATTTGAAGAATATGAAGTAGGGGGTTGTGCCCTCTCTCTTTAAACCCTATATGTCAAACAGACAACAATATATCTCCTTGGATTATTATAATATATCAGATCTCGAAATAATTGAGTGTGGAGTACCTCAAGGCTCAGTGTTGGGTCCTCTCTTTTTTATAATTTATCTAAATGATATCTTTACGTATATGAATCCGCATGGTTGCATTGTACTTGCAAATAACACAACCATCATAAACTCTCACAACCTTGCCACTGAGCTGGAAAAGGACATAAAATAGCTCTAGAAAAAGCAGAAACCCAGCACTATACTTTGATCACTTATACCTTTTATTGTAGGCATTTTCTTTTCTTGAAGCTTTTTTTTTGTTTTAATGCTCCAATTTTTATTAAATACTGTTTTGATTATTATCATTATATAAATTTAATTATCCGTATTGTCTTTTAATATACTGTTTTTTATATGCGATAAATTGACGAATCTTATTTGTGCTATCTGAATGTATAAAATATTAATGAACATCTATCTATCTATCTATCTATCTGTCTATCAAGGTAGCTTGCACCCTAAGATGTGGAAGCAATTAGTCTGAAGGATCGTTCAAGAAGAAACATCTATCAAAAATTTCTTCTGTAAGGAAACTCGCAGAAATGTATGTCGTATATAATTCAATATTCAAAAACTTATTACTGTTTACTCTAAGATTTTCCCTACGAGTCTCACAGTATCAGTAAGTTTTGATATGGATTTCTATCAAGTAGTGGCCATTTCTATTAAAAAATTCAATATTCATCGTGGTATTAGCGTGGTAAATAGTTGTTTTTTTCAGTAGGCATTTGCTAGATTTTACTGTGTAGGAACATTGGGAGAGTTGACAGTTTCAAGTTTCACTATGAAATTTACTTTCTTCATAAATAATAGTACTTAAAAAGTGCGCAAATGAACTTGCACCAGTATTTTGTAAGACTTTTCAACCTATCTTGCAAGAAAGGGGTTTTTCCTTCTTGTTGGAAGATTGCTTGCTTTCAGCCTATTCCCAAAAAGGGCAAGAAAAATCTTCCAAATAACTATAGACCAGTCGCTTTGCTATCAGTGATATCAAAAACCATGGAGAAAGCTGTAAACCACCATATCCTTAAATATTTGGAGGGCTGGAACATCGAAGAAAGGTTGGAGATTGCCCCTCTTCTATATATATTTTCACGGAAAGTGTTCAAGTGACCTTGGCACATTTGATTCTATCAAGAGCGGTACATATTAGAAATACGTACATCTCGAACTTCACTATTTATGAACTCTTTGATTTGAGAACTGTGTTTATGCGGAATAACCCTCCTGAGAACGTTTTTCCAAATGGATTCAATCTCCAGAGATTCAAATCTAATGTAAATCGCTACTTTTGCACAGGCACCGCTCTTAAAGCGCCTTAAGGATTTTCCTGTAGTGCTTGTGTTTTGTCCTTAAAAAAACTCCATTTCCAAAAACACCATACAAAATTGTATAGGAATTGTCAGTACAATCGAAAATTAGGGGTAGCAAAGAAAGGAGACATGAATATCCGATAGTGTATGTGTATAATAACAATTTTCTAACGATATGGTCAATTAAAACGACCAGGGTCTGTTGCGAGGACCATATAATACTACACCTAAAGGTCATTATATAGTTATAAATTGAAAAATCCGATGGTGTATAATAACAATTTTCTAACAATATGGTCAATTAAGAAGGTCAGGATTCTTTGCTAGGAACGTAGAATACTACTCCTAAAGGTTTTTATATATAGTGAGCTCTTGTTGATATTCATTTTACTGAATGGCTTAGCTGAAGGTAATATTTATCGAAATTTATAATAAAACGTGATACATAGGTTCAAACTTTTCAAAAATATTTCTTGAAATGCTAAATATCCTGCCAGCTATACCATATTCAAAAGTTCTTGTCATAGAATAACTTCTGTGGGTTGTAGTACTTGTGCTTCATATGGCAAATCTTTATTCCTGCCCTTTATAAGTTTTGGCACAAATGAAATATTATTCTAGTTCTAGAGACATCTTACATGATATTATGTGTATAGAGAATATGTTGTATTTGAAAATAACTCTTTTTCAGCATTCAACCAAATTTCGAATCTGAAAGACCACATGAGAACCCATAATGGAGAAAAGCCATTTTTATGTTCTACATGTGGAAAGGGTTTTAACCAACTGGGTAATCTGAGGCAGCATACTGTAAGGCATAGCGGAGTGAAAGCTCACTTGTGCAGTACGTGTGGTAGCGGATTTGCCAGCAAAGGAGAATTATCTGCACATCTTAGGAAACATACAGGTTGAAAACACCTCATATTATTTTCATAACGTATTACTTAAGAGATATTTTTTGAATTAGCTTCTATGGTTTGAAAGAACTCTTTTTTGTTCTATTCTTGCTAATAGTTCACCACAAAAATTTTGATTATTTTCAACACTTTCACTGCACATGGCACACATGTGAGCCACACCGTCTTTTACTCAGATGCTCATGGAGCACTTTCGAGTCATAAGCCAGTTTAAAACAACCAACGTTATTTAATGTGTATTCGTTCCAATGGGTTTTGCCTCTCTTCACGTGTATGGCTTCACATGTTTGTATCCACTTGTGAGTTCTGAATTCTTGAATCAGATTTTGAACTTTCTTATTAACCTTATTATTTTTAACTTTGGATGTTTTCCGCAATAATTTTTGTGTAAAATACAATCTGAAATTGAGATTATCATTATCTATTAGTATGACTTTCATTTCGGTAAACACTTATATTTGGAATGGAATGGAATGAAATTCTTTCTAACAAGAATTTTATTCTGGTTTATCTTGTATTTATTTATTAAAAAAAAAGAGTTGAGGTCATATGGATTATGATCTCAGATAGCAAATACATCGTCAACATATCTCCACTAAATTTTTGGGCCACTCTCATGAGTCTCCATGTGTGTTTCATTCCTTGCCATTCCATATTCTTGTTTAAAAATCCCCTGCGATCTGAAAAAAGTTTTATTGGTAGGTACATCAATTCAAAATCTCCAAGATAACTTCCACTTTCAATTTTGTTCTATTTTTTATATTAGTATTATTTTCTAATTTCGTTTTTACAATTCTTAAAGTTTATCAACTCACAACATCGAAACTCACCAAGAGATCTCCATTTCGAATTTGTTATTCAATAAATGTTTCAATGAAATCAGAAGTATTCTCTGAAAGGAAGGTTTTGGCAAAAAATATTCTCTCCTAAAAATATACCCTTTTCAGTATAAACAGAAGTATTCTGTTTAAATTTATAGTTTCTATTTACAGTTTACGCTTCATTACACTTTGGCAGATTCTCTATTGAATTAGCTTCGCTTATTTTTCAAATTGTGGAAGGTTTTAACCAAAAAAAAACTAAGAAATATTTCGGAATTATTGTTTCAAGTACTCTGATGAGATCGAAAAATATTTGAGTTGCCTAGTACCCCTTGTTTATGCCATCAAAGATATATTGGTTCAAATCTGTTGTTGCTATTAGGATTGAAAATTTCTCCTTTGGGATTGATTTTATATTGAGTTATATGAAATTCTTAGGTTTTGGTTTATATTAATAGAAACATTAAAATTCATTTCTTGAGTTGAGAAAATATGAAACGTCATGCATTTCACAATTTTTTCAAATTGTTCCTTATTTGTAGTTTTATTTGTGTATATAGGTGCCCGTCCCTTTGTCTGCCAGGTTTGCAATCATGGATTCACCACCTCCAGCTCTCTTACCAAACACAAACGCATACATTCTGGTGAAAAGCCATATGAATGTGATACGTGCAAGATGAAATTCTCCCGGTCCGGTATCCTTGCTCGCCATAAACGTACACATACTGGAGAGAAACCGTATAAGTGCAAGGTAATTATTGTGCAATGTTGGTTCGAACTTCCATTGTCAGATATAAATAACAGATTTTAAAGCTAAGAGTAGAGAAATGGAATGAAATAATAGATGAAGTAAAAATGATATTGAAAATATGAAAAGATGATCTACAATCCAGATAACATACAACAACTCTCTATCAAAGAAATTGTATTTTTAATGGGTGCCGTCTCTTCAGTACCGTTCCTGATGAAATAAAATATTGTCAAGTTTTCACTCAGTTCAAATACGTCATTTTCCAAATTTTTCCCTCTCTGTACAGAAGTTATAAGCATATTGTACCTGAGTATCAGTTACTTGTATAACTTCTGAATTTTTATCCTTTTACTGTGTAACTAGCTTTTTATTGTACTTCACAATTTATATGACTTGTTTTCTATGTAACCATCATATGGAAATAAATTTATATTATTATGTCAAAATGTGTGTAAGAATGCTAATTTCTAAAAAAAAAGTATTGTGACAGATGGAAATGAATTGATACATGAGTTGAAAATTAATTTAAATGCAGTTATATACAGACGAAAATGAAAAAAAATATATGGTATAAAATGAAATAAAATGAATAAAAAAAATGTTCAGTTTTATTGAAAAAATATAATAATGTATATAATGTACTGAAAACTAAAAAATAATTCGGAAGGTCCTAGGTAGCAGTCATCTCACCACTCTCCTCATCAATCTACGGTATTGATCAGATAAAAATATTAAAATCGTTGTGCTTAGCGTAACGTGAGTAAATATATAAATACTATGCCCAACAATTTTATTATTTTTTCATCTGATCAATGACATATATTGCTGAGGAGAATGGTGTGATGACTACTACTTAGGACCCTCCGAATTATTTTTTAGTATTCAGTACATTGTCTACATCATTATTTTTTTTCCAATAAAACTGTTCCACATATTTTTTTTTCCAATTTTTGTTTCAATTTTGTTACTCAATTCTTCTCATTCTGTTTAGTTCATTTAGTGCCTCAGTATTACCAAGTATTAGTATTAGTATTTAGTATAAAACATAGTGAGGTACTGATTTTTGCTGATGACGTAAAAATATTCAAATTAATTTCTTCTACAAACGATGTCTCACTCTTGCAAGAAGATTTGTCACAATTTTATGTATGGTGTGTTATGAATCAAACGAATTTGAATATATCCAAATGTTTCTGCCAAACATTTTCTAGAATTATTCACCCTGTTTCACATGACTACAGTATCAATAATATACCAATTAATAGGAAATCAGTAATAAAGGACTTAGGAATTATGTTCGATCGTGAATTGAACTTCAAATCTCATAATGAGTATATTATAGCTAAATCACTCAATATGTTGGGCTTCATCAATAGATCATGTAAGGAATTCAGTTTGAACACTCTCAAGTTATTATATTGTTCATTAGTTAGATCATTATTGGAGCACGCTTCAATAATTTGGTGCCCATATTATGAAATACACATATACCAAATTGAAGCTGTACAAAACACTCTCCTGAGGATCTGTGCATACAAGTTAGGTCTAAGAAGGGGAGAATATGCATACAACAACATTAGAGATGAGATGAATCTATTAGCTTTAAAGAATAGAAGAATTATTTTAGATGTATGTTTTTTAAGCAAAATTTCAACTGGCAACATCAACTGTGAGGATATTTTATCTTTAATTAATTTGAATGTCAACAGACAGACCAGAGCTAGTACCGAAACATTTAAAATACCGTTCCACTCCACAAATTATGGTTTTTTTTTTCCTGTCACTCGAATGCTCAGAAATGGAAATATGTATCAACAGGTTGATATCTTTAGCAGCTCCACATATACCATCAAAATTGAACTGAGTTACATTATTTCCTGAAACATTTCCTTTGAATATTCTATACTATTTCATCATTATATTGCTTTCTTTTTATACTGTATATCATATCATTATTATTGTGATATGTATTTATTATCTTTAGTTCAGTTTAAGATTTTACAAACTTTTTTATTCATTTTTCTCCATGACAAAATTGTACTGTGATTTTTATCACTATATTATTGTATTGCTTTTTTATATTGTATTATGTATTTATTGAATTTATTATCTTTAATTTAGTTAAGATTTTACAAATTATTTTTTTTATAACAATCCGTAATTTTGTAGCTGCGGCCATCTTGAATTTGCATCTTTTTCTGAGTGTACTACTATTCTACTAGTCAAGCCCCATCATTTGATAGCCATAAGGTAGTTGTAAAAAATATGTAATCCGCCATTTTGCAGCTACATCCATCTTGAATTTGCATAAGTTTCAAAGCGTACTACTATTCTAATAGTCAAGCCTGTCATTTGATACTCCTATTGAGGTAGTTGTGAAACAATATGTAATCCACCATTTTGTAGTTGCGGCCAAATATCAGATCAATGTGTCAACAGGAGGAGGGTCAAATACCAGTTACTAAATTTGACTCAAACAAAAAAAAACAGGGCAAGCTAAATGAAACCTTGAAAATAGATTTCAAACCTAGCTAGGTACTCCACACGTCTTCGGATGATGAATTTTTTTTGTTTTTCATTGTTTGTATATTATTGAAATTTTATTTATATTTCAACCCATTTATTGATGATTCACTTTCAATTCAGGTCACAATGATAGATTTTTCACAAATTTTTGTAACTATACTTTTTCTTTTCACAAGCGTTGTTTATTTTTCATTTTTTGAAATTATCGTTTCAACTAAGTTATAGGACTATTTTAACTAATTCATTTGAATATGTCAGTTCTAGGATCTTTAATAGTCAAATCTTTTTCTTCTCTCAGATTAAAAATCTGATAACATATTAATTGACAGCGGAAATTATTAATAAAAACGAAATATATTGGTAAAGAAAACAAATTATTACTGTATTTGAAATGAACTAATTTCATGGGCTTAGAAGAAATTTTTACAGCCCAAATGAATGCTATTAACAAAAAAATATCACACAATCAAGTTTTTTGGTAATGACTGTCCTGAAGGGGTCCAGATGCTGATAAAAATATAAGTTGATATTTATACAGGTTAATTTTCGTCATCATAGTCAATGCACATACCACTTATGATGTCTGCCGTGGTAGAAGACTTCCGTTTCCATTCTACCTCTAGCCCGGATATTGTTCTATTTAATTATTTGAATTGAGTCATCTCATCTTTTTAATTTTCGTATATTTTCGGCAAGCTTATTTGTATGTTTTTTTTGTCTCAGAATGATGGATGGTATCATTTGCAAAAACAGTCAATATTTCAGATATGTATGTAGTATGCAATATTAGAAAGAGCAAGTATGAAACCCTGTGGAATGTCACTCTCTGAATGTGACAGAGTTGAAGTTTCCAGCATCTGATAGGGATCAACTTGTTGACACCTCTGGAGCCGTAAAGGTGTTATGTTGATAGTATCTCAGAGATATGATGATCAAGAAATTCACTAATGAATATTTCTTTAAGAATAATGTTATCTATCTAATGGACATTATAATATCCGGACATTATAACTGATAGTACAAATGAGATATTACAATCTTTCCATTCTACTTGAAATTTTTGAGGTCACTTTGAACTCGTTCAAGCAGGAGTAGTGACATTTTCATATCAAATAGTGTCATTTTATGAATGAGAATTGACTTATTAATTTATTCATTAACTTTGTAAAGCAGTGTGTGAATAACATGTGTAATTAATTGATGAATTATATTCTAGTTTTGTGACAAAGCGTTCTCCCAATCCAACGATCTTACATCTCACCAGCGAATTCATACTGGCGAAAAACCGTTTATTTGTGATGAATGCGGACAGGCCTTCCGTCAGAGCTCTGCTCTGAAGACGCACAAAAAGACACACTCCTCAAAGCCGGAAACAACAGAAAAAATCGACAAAGGAACATCTGTGGAAGTCAAACCAATCTTCCTCGCAGGAGTGTTCAATCCTGAATTTTTGCCGGGATTCACGTGAAGGTTATGTCTTTCCTTGCTAGTAGATTTTTTTAATGAATTGTGATTTATATAAGTATTGTCAATAAGGATGAGTGCGGGTGCTTCGAGATTTGAAGTAGATAATTTTACTTGGTTTACCATTTATTGTCTTTTTACATAATGACTGATGAATATGCAACTACGCGTATACTAAGTATGTATTTTTAATATTCAAAAATATGTTTTCTAATGTTGATTTGAAATAAATTCTTGACAACACTATGCCAACTAATATATCCCAACTTACTGGAGGTAGTTCCTCGGATAATTTTGAAATAAAAAAACCCGAGCGATGGAGTACCACAAGCCCCAAATGAGGACATTTTGATTGTCAATGTAATTTATACTGTATTAGGTCTCACATTTGCACATAGCGTTGTCAGGTGTTTATGAATTGCCACACAGTGTATTTCTTCCATATGAAATAGTTTGAATTCCTAACTCCACATTCCAACTCAACATAAACATTCGCTACAACTGGTTGTAGTCCAAGTAGGAGAAGGTGATAAAGAGATTTACAACATTAAAGATCTGCTCAACATGAGAGTTTGAGTAGAAATGCAAAACCAAAAGGCAACTGTGAGCCAATATCTGAAAAGGAATGTACAGAATAAATTACCACGGCTTCCAGAGTACCCAGGGTACAAATGAAGGCCAAAGTATCTGCCTTTCATATGGCAGCTACTCCTAGGAGGGCTACAAGTGCAGGAATCATTTATACATACTGAAATTTCATTGAAAAAATTCAAAGAACCCGACCAAACCAACTCCAACCTCCGAAAGCCTTGTGCTGCCTAAGGTTTATGATATCTGTTCCTCTCTGGAATGCATGAAGAAATTGTTCGTTCATCGACAGATAAACCCAGGCCTAAGCCCATATGACGAATTTTCACACATAGGTCCAGGGTATGCATATTGAGGTGAAGGCCTAATTGTCGTGGATGTGCCTCGGTCAATGCCCAGCTTATCTAAGGTCCTAACCAGAATTCTGACCATATCGAACGTCTTTCCTAGCAGCTCTTCTCTCCTTAATTTAAGTGTCGAGCAACATAGAATTTGCCAATGTACCATTGATATCTGCGAAACCCCGTTGGTTGGAGCTCAGAGGTGTCGCATTTTTCAGTCGGTTCTACACTGCAGTGCCGAACTGACTATTATTGACCCCCAATTGTCGTAATTTGAGGGATTCCTCTCTTTAATGACTAGATAAGTCCTGATTCTACTGAGTATCGACGGCTGGGAATTTTTCTAACCCGAACAACACTGATCTCATCATCCAGCCAAGGGGGGCTTATTGACTTCTTCTATGGTGATCGGGGAGAATAAACCTAATAGGTGTTTTTTAGTCGATCACAACCTCGTCGTTCGTAGAGGGCTCAGCTTCCTGTATTCTCCCGAAGAGGGCTTCCATGTCGCCTATAGGAGGGTAGACTTTGAACTGGTCGATCATGTGGTAATACCCCTCGTAGCTGTCATAATACTTGAATAACAATGAATAACAGTGCTGCCTGTTTCTGACACTATATGTCTGCTTTTGGCGCAGCAGAGTACACTTCGAACCAATTTTGTGTCCACATTTCACACACTGATGTGGGTCTAGTATTGTTTTGGGGGTAATTGCAGCTGTTAGAGGATGGCACTAACATCTGGCTGGAACAAACGAGTTATTTAGAACAGGATTAACTATGAGGTCAAAAATTAAACTGACGATCTGCAAACAATGTAGCGTTACTTCCAGCTTAACGTCGACTTGGACGATGTTATAAAAAATTATTGTATAAACAATATCAATACATTGGGTACTGTGAATGATTTTGGGTATTCGTTTTTGTACAATAAAAATTTTTTTCAATTGCATATTGGAGTTATCAACCATTAACGAATATAGGTATCTGAGATGGGTAATGCTCAATATAATTTTCAAAGATTTGACTTTTAATAAAGGAAGTGTCAATGTCTTCGCAACATTTTCAATATGAATGTTCCATCAAAGATGTTAATCAATTTTTGATCTGATTTTGATCACTTTTAGAATGCAGTTCTACTACTATTTGTTTGCTACTGTTATTCTCATTGAGGTATATTTCCAATTTATGGAATGAAAGAATGGTATTCTTATACTTTGTAAACGGACAAAAAATGTCTTTTGTAGTTCACTGTGAGTTTTTTTGTTTGACCCATAATAACACATACAAATTGAAAAAACTAAATGTGAAGGGCAAATTTAGTAATTTGATTTATTTTAAAAATGTTTTCGATTTTAGAGGAGGGAAACTTCGTAAATGTCAAGAATAACGTATGTTCCTTTTTAAATGATATTCAGACAATATCTACATATATCCTTTTGCAAATATTCAGTAACATTTCTTAGTTCCGCAGGTACTATTCGGTAGATATTCGAACATAGACATTTGTGCAATACTTCTTAGTAACCATAAATATCACGACTTCAATCAAAATATTTCGAGTGTTTTAGTTGCTTGAGTAGAAATAAGAGTTCAAATCGAAAGGGATTATATGTTTATGTCGTCCAGGTTGCAGAAATGTTTTATTGTTGAGTGAGTGAATGAATATGTATTTGTAAAATTGTTGGGATATATTAGTTTGCGATTTCAGAATTTTCAAATGACTTTCTGAATTTTAAGGACACTTTTGGTTGATTGAAATGAATAGTTATGTTCTTATATTATTGTTGAATGTTAAGTCAGCCTCTTGGAGTTTTGGTTGTATCCATACGAAAAGTGAAAAACGTTACTGCAGTTTCGTACTATATGGACATTTTCAAACTTGAACAATAAACTCCTATTGTTCAAGTTTGAAAATGTCCATATAGGACGAAACTGCAGTAACGTTAGTTACAATTAAAATGGGTAAAATAGAGAAATTTTCATTTCTCTTTTCATCATGATCTCCTACCACGTAGTAACGGCTACATCCATTAATTTATTATAACACTATCTAAAAAAAATGTTTATAAAGCCATTTTTGGGAATCATTCAAAAATTGTCACTTTTAGAGTAGCGTCATCAATTGTGTTCATATTTAAATAACTGAAAAATCTAATTGAGATGGACGTGGAAAGTAGATTTTGTGAATGAATTAATTGCCAAATGTTTACTGACTATTTTAGATGACATAATTGATTTCATTAGTACCTCTTATAGATTCAACCATGTGATCATATAATGAAAATTTATTAGTTTCATGTTCGTCTGGTAATTTTCAAAATAACTAAATTTCAGTACCCAAAGAAGGTTGATAAAAACTGATTTTCCTCCACAAAAAAATTTACCTTTGTTCAATATCCAGTTTTATGTTGTAGATGTGGTTTGCAGTTCATATAATTCTACACAGGCATTGTGATATGATTATCACTCTTTTTCTTTTTATCAGATTTTTATTTTGTCAATAATAGTCTGTTTTCTAGTAGATCATTTAGCAAGTATAGATGTAGATGTAGAAGAAAACATGATGAGATGAAAAAGTTAATATTGAAACATGAACACGAGATAATATAGATTATTTTCCTCAGTGCATAAAAAAAATTAAACAGTTGACGGATAGGCTGCATTTACAGAGTTTTACAGTGAATAAATGCACTAACCAATTAAACCGAGTATAAATCGGAGATCCTGTTTCACGAAACTCTTGAAATTTGGGTTTTGAAACTGAGTTTTTTCAGCTCAAAATATGTTTCTATCTCTGGATTTTATCAACTCTCTCAAGTGTGTTCAACAATATTTTGAAACTTGTGGATTTGCACATATTTTAACTAAAGTGCATCGGGACATAACCCTTGAGAAAATTTTTCATTTATTTGAATGTAGATTACAATGTTTGTGATTGAAAGTGGCTGGCAGTGTACAAAATAGTGGATATTCAAACTACTATTGCTTTTAGGATCTCGAGATTCAATTTTCAAAATGACATTTATGAAAAAAGTATTTTTTTGAAGATTAACCTTGTTTTGGCTTCAGCTTTTTTAATGTTCATAGAGAAGTATAAAGTTAAAGATGCTTGCAATACTTTAGAGGTACCAAGATTATTTTAACCAGTGTTGTAACAGAACCACATTCAGCAGAAGAGGAAATGCAAAGGTTGACCTTTGCGTAAAATATAAACTATATAATTAGTCAGTAAGTTGTCGTATTCATAAATTTTGACTATGAATAAACTCAATAATCGAAAGTTTTTCATATATTTAGTTTTCTCAAAATTTATAAACACTACTAGTTAGTGACTAGACTCAACAAAAATTTTGCAGTTCTGCAACACAGAAAGGCATGCTCTTTCATAAACAAAACTACGTTGTAACTCCGTTTAAAAACATGCGGAGGCATATGCAGAGGTTCGTTTCATGCCGAAACTGAACACTTGTGGGAACATGTTCCGTTACAACCCTGATTTTAACTGCCATCAACTGTGAAATTCTGAAAGATAGCAAGTTTCATCAATTGCACTCAGGCTGAAACTATGTTTTTATATTTATCTCATTTGTATTTAATTAGTCGGTTTATCCAATGTTACTTTTGCTCCAATTTTTTAATAATTCATCCAAATATTTACTATAAGTTCCAAATTTCTACCATTTTGAAATATAATTTTTCAGGATTCTTACAACTCTTGAACGTTTTTGAAAATTGTTTGTAATCATCAGCCCACCATTATCAGTTTTTTGTTTATCAACTTACCTTTTTCCTAAAATGTTTTAAATGTCATATTATAGTTTGTATATACCTGATCTGTAATAGTGAATGTAAAGTAATTGAACTATTTTTTCTTGGTTTGAGAATTCTCATGAGAATAAAGTGAAATGAATAGTAGATTTCTTTCATTTTTGTTACCTGTGATATACAATCGTAATATTCTTTTTTGTGCATACTTCTCACAATTGTCACTACATAGCTTTTTGCAGTATGAATAGACATGTATTAGGTTGATTCAAAAGTTTTGTCCGCTTTGATGCCATGTGTTTTTGTAGTTCCATATCCCAATAAATATTTATTCTACTGTGTCGTGGAAAATGGAAAAGATGGCGCAAATTGTTGATTTAAAAATCTGTTTAAAAAAAATCTGTTTTTCCGTTAATCAGCGACAGCTGATTAACGTTCAGCTGTCGCTGATTAACGGAGAAACGATAACTCTCAGAAGTTGAGAAACTTGTGCGAGCTAAGGACTAACGAGGTCTTACCTTTTGACGTGTGATTCCTAATACACTT